GAAGTGTAATAGTGCAGAGTTTAAGAAATATATGTACCTTGGTTTGAAAAGTTCCTTTTTGAAATCTGAAATATAAAATCTGACAAGTTATAAAAGCGGGGCAGTGTAGGAAAGTAATAGAATGATGATGGACTTTAGTTACTCTTTTAATGCCAGACTATATGGCACAAAAGTAAACATACCCACATGTTCTATTAATGCCATGACCTTCCAATGAATGGTGTGCGTGCTCTCCAGTGTGACTTAGGTCATTTTCTGAAAGCTGCTGCTGGTACCACTTCTCTCCGTTCTAAAATGTTCCCCTTGGAAAGAATTTGTGGTCTGCCCTCTCTCATTCTCAACCCTTTCCCATTATAGGGCATTTGAAGAAGCAGCATAGATCTCTCTCAGAATTTTCCATTTTGACAGTAAATTTTGGTTTCTACAACTTTCCATCCAAACTGGAGACTTATTAGCATTTAAAATGTCTTTGACTAGGAAGTTGCTTTAGGTATTCCTTTCATCATGACCTAGTTGGGAAGTACAGAATTCCTGGTTTCTGAATTGGTATATGAAGTTTCCAACTGGGCAAGGAGGCATATAATTTCCCAACCCTTTCCTATCCACCTTGCTCTTATTGTCAGATCCCTAGCCATCTCTGGCTCACACTTGCCCTCTAAGAGCAGTTCTGATTGTGGGTACAGAGTATACAAGCCATTACCTCAGAAGATCATTGGCTCAGGATGGAACTCCATTCTACCCTGAGGTCTCCCACCTCCTCTTCTGAGCATGCCGACTCTTGGCCTCGGCTCCTGATCTTTATTCTACTGTCTCTTAACGTGTGTCTATGTCAGTGATACCTTGCCTCCTGTCTCTGCTGAGCTCTTCTTGGACCTGATCTGTGTTCTTCCCCATATCCCGGGCCCTACTTGACCCTTCATGGGCCTGCTGTGGCCTGTTAACCACCCAAAATCAGAGGAAGAGGATTTCTGCATCCTAATCTCTCTTGTGCCGCCAGAAAACTATCTGACTTCAGGCTGAACCTCCCTGGACTCAGCCTCTTTCTCGGTGAGGAGAGGCTTTAGTGGGTTATCTCTAGGGCCTCTTAGATGAGAAAACTCAAGGAACCGTCGGGCTTCTTTCCTGCCTCCACCTTCTGACTGTTTTAAACAAATAACCAAGAGTGCAAAGTGCCATTACCTGCAGGGAGGACCCCATCACCCAGTTAGAAAGATTAACTTGTAAATTTGCACCACATTGTATAATTTACAGAGTGTGTAAGGCGGTGCCTTCAGAAGCTTGTTTATGCTTGTGAAGCTGTGTTCCCAGCACTTAATGGAAGCTCCTCCACGTAGGCGGCAGGAAAATGGCCTTTTTTTCCCTTTAAAGATCCAAACCACCATCCTTCTTCTTTTTTCTTGTGTATAGTCACAATGTCACCTGTGAAAACACACATCTAGTTAGATGGGTTTCTTAACTTAAGCACATGCCTGAGCCTGATCAATAGTTTTGTTTTTTTTTTAATGGAGGTGCTGGGGATTGAACTGGGGGCCTTGTGCATGCTAAACTAAGCATGTGCTCTACCACTGCGCTGTACCCACCTCCCAATAAAATAGTATCTATGGAGATTCTTTTTTTCAAGGGGTTACATGGTAGCATCACTTTCTGCATGTGATTCAGATGAAGCAAGGTTTACTGAACACTTCTGTATGAAGAAAGCAGAATGCAGTGAATATTAACAACATTTAGGTAATAGATAACTCAGTTGTTCCATAAAGTAGTTTGATTAAAAACAAAATCACTTTGGATATAGCTAATGGGTTGTCACCAAATTCTTTGTGTCTGTGCTTTAGGGGTTTCTTGTGGTGGCCACGATAATTTGATGTGTTGACTACTAAGGGTATGTCTCAGCTACCAGACTTTTCTTTAGATGAAGGCAGTTTCTCTCCATATGTGCCAGTTTCATAGTCCAAAGTTCCAGCTCACAGCTTTGCACAACAGTGTAACTCCCCCACTCAACAATTTAGGTAACTTAAATATCAGTTTGAAGCAATGATTCAAATAAATACAATTCTTAAACACATGGCTCTTCTCTAATTCTCTATTTAAAAAAAAAAAAAACAAAAACCCCACTATTCTCTCTTGTGAGAGTCCTTTCTGGCTGCTTCCTACACATCAAAGTGGAAACATCCGCTTCCTTCAGAACCCAAGAGCTACTTTATCTTTAGCAACATTATGAGATAGCTTTGTCTTTCATTCGTTTTCCCAATAAGTTTCTTTCTAGGGCAAAGGAGGCTGAAACCCCCTTCTGTCTCTCCTTAGTTATATCACTAGTTTTGCAGGAGATCATTCTCAGACTCAGATCTCCATCTAGTGAGTTCTCTCAGGTCAGTAAACTGATACAATCTACTACTGGAAATTCAAACAATTTACAATTTTATTGCCAGCTTTCCTAGGCCTCCAAGGTCTCGTTCACTTTAGAGAACCCACTGAAGATAAAAGGTATAAGTAGGCTCTGCAACCAACAGAGAACTGAAGACAAACAAGGTAATCAATTTATCATGTATAACTATGTAATTTACACTCAGGACCCTGGGTTCTAGGTGGCATCTGAGAGATCTGTTTTCATTCCCATGAAGAGTGGGAATACTGCATTTCATGTACTCAGTCATTGGTGTTGGTAGCCTTAGGATGGCTTGATGGGTCACAAAGTAACTTCTGTTAACACAACTTTTAAATGAAAGGCAATATCGATTTAAGACTAATGGAGGAGAAGCTCTACTTTCTATTTCCTTTTTTTCTTGTCTTACCTTTGAGCTAGAAGGAAAAGGAATTAAAATTCCCTGGAGCACTCTAACTGGCAGGCTGAAAAGGATGCACCCATTAATCAATAGCCAATATGTGGTGTCCCTGTTTGGCTGCAGAATTTCTGTTGACTTTCTGTTGGCTCTGGGCGCCACATCCTGGTCATGGATAATAAGCTTTCTCATACAACATAGTTCTTTCTCACTAACCTTTTCGCTTCCAGACCTCTGCCTTGGCAACCACATTTGGATGTTAAAGCTAACTAACTGGACACACAAAGAAAGCTGAGGCTGGTGACTTTTTAATAATCGAAGTCTATACAACCCATTAATAATATACAGCCCATTACATAATATTTCTCCTTGTGAAACAAAGATCTGTGACACAAAGGAGGAACCATAGGTTGGTCATGAAACACTTTTTTGAGAGAAGTGGGAGAAATATTAAGCTGGGAGTCCTTTGGCCTGGGTTCTAGAACTTGCACTCATACTAAGCAGTGAGAGGAAGTCACTTCACACTCCTGTGTGTGCAGCTTTCTGAGAAGGAAAAAGGTGGAGTGGCTCCCTGTCTAGTCACTTTGTTACCGACATTCTGTCCCAGTGTAGCATTGTCACTAAGCATGACTCGGTTTCTGAGTTCAAATCCTGTGCTGCTACTTTAGCCGAAGTACTTAACCTCTTTCTGCCTCAGTCTCTTCAGTAATAAAATGGGCATAAATAACACCACCTCCCTCGAAGGGCTTTATGAATAGAAACTGGACAGTGTGTCTGCAACAATGTCTGTCTGGCACGTGGTAAACACTGTATAAATGCTAGCTCTCTTTATTATGTGAGCTTTCTTTTTGATGTGCTTTATCTTCTAAGAAGGGTCATTATTAACCTGAACTGACTTGACCAGGTAGGAACTTTCAAGGCTGCTGGAGTTTTAGTCAAGTGAAAGAGTTCAACACGGGAAAGCAGGTCATCTGTTTGAAAATGATTCTTACCTTTTTCCAAATCCAATTCATCATCTTGCCTGGCTTGGAAAGAATACAAGGCCTTGCAAAGACCATTGCCGAGCTGGGTCACACCGGAGGCTGAAAGTTGGATGGAGTTATGATTACCATTGCTGGGCCAGCAGATGAGATGAACATGGTGGGAAGCGCCTTAGTTATTTAGCCTGTGGTGCAGAGCTTAAATCTACTGAAATCTCAAAAGCAAAGTTTATAATTGTACGTAACATTCATTCTCTTGATTCAGTAACCTTTAGGATGTACATACTATGTGTATGAATTGTGTATATTACATAATCAAAAGCTATAACATAGTAAAGTCTGGAGAAAAAAGTTATTGTAGTAGCAATAGTAATGATCATTTAAAAGTATTTGTTTCCCACGTGACCTTAGTCAACATCAGTTAGCTAATCTGTGTGGCGGTTGTATTCATCTTTTGGAAAACAAACGCCAGTTGTGCCGACCACGAACAGACAGGGGACACTGAGAACAGGTGCATCCCCAGCTACTGAGAGAACTGTTTCTCAAATAACACAAGCTTGAGTCTTCAGCATGCTCACGTGGACTATAATGTCCTGGGTCTTATTGAAACCTTTTTGCCAAGTTCTAGTCAAGAAACTAGAGAATCAAGGTTACGATAACTGGCTGAACAATGAGGGAAAATGATACGCGCGCGTGTGTGGTGAAAGGCAGTGGAGTGTGTGGATGGACCAATGACTGAAGTCAGGTGACTGACCAAAGCAAGTGGGTAGGCCTTGCGGTCACTGTGTTTCTCACAGAGAGAGGGGACTTCCATGGAAGTTCGGAGGAGGCTGTGGAGACAGCTGCTGCGCTCCTCACGGTGGTTCAGGGCTGTGTGTGTGGACAGCAGACCGCAGGCTGCCTGAATAACATTGATGCCAGTTACCCGAGGCACCTTCTCATGCTATAGAATTCTTTTCCCCACCTCCACTCCTCTTGAATCCTTCCCACATTTTGGATTACATTTGCACAGAAAGCTATACGTTCTAACAACTTAGTCAGTCCTAAGTGAAATGTAAATTTCTTTGAGCTGATTTATGTAAATGTGGCTCTGAAAATAAAATATCAATATAGTAAGGTGCTTTACCAATAGAACTCAGCCCAAACTTACTCCGGGCGTGAGATTACCTGTAGATGAAGAACTTGGCATTCTTTGCCCGCCAGAAGATGCCTTGCTCATAACAGTCTCTAATCTCTTCATCAGAAATGGTCGAGTTATTTTTACAGAACTATGTGTCTGCTGCTGTTCAAATATTAAAAAAAAATCATTTTTAACAAAAGTAACACTTCTCCAGCTGTTTTCCTCAAGTATTTGTTTTTCAGTTGTTGGGAGGAGGATATAAAGAAATGATTCAATGCACTTCTAAACTGGACTGCAGTGCATTCTTGTTTCTGAAACCTTAATGTTTTCAGAATTAGATAATTACTGTATATTATAGTCTGTGTTTCCAATACTCACCTGCACCTCTAGGCCAGATAACATTCACAACATCATTTAT